CAAGAACTTCCTCTGGGTCTCCCACGTAGGTGCAGGGTCCCAAGCACTCAGGCCATCTTCCACTGCTTTCCCAGGCCATAGCAGAGAGCTGGATCGGAAGTGGAACAGCAAACTGGTGCTCTTTAGGGATGTGGCGCCGCTGCACCACAGTGCCAGCCCCTACCAAGGCTTTAAAAACAGGAAATACTGTCACATGCTACAACATGGATGAATCTCAAGCACGATACACTAAGCAAAATAAGCCAGTCATAACAGGCCAAATACTGTATGATTTTATCCACATGAAGTATCTAAAATAATCAACACAGAAACAAGACTAGAGTAGTGGCTGACAGGGGGCAGGATTAAAGGGGAAGGGACAAACAATTTAATGGGTATAGTGTTTCAGTTTTGCAAAATAATGATTTCCAGAGATACGTTGCACAAAAATGTGAACAAACTCACGTTTAATGCTACCGAACTGTATATTTAAACATGGTTAAGATAAGAGCTGTCGTTGTGGCATCTCATAATGGAGCACAGGTTTCAGTCCTGGCTGCTCCGCTTCCTATCCAGTTCCCTGTTAATGTGCTTGGGGAAGCAGCAGCAGACGGCCCAAGTGCCCAGGGGACCCAGGAGAGTTCCAGGCTCCGGGTGTCTGCCTGTCCCAGCACCGGCCATTGTGGTCACGTAGGGAGTGAACCAACAGATAGATCTCTCTCTCTCTCTCTCTTTATCTCCATCTCTCCCAGTCTCTCCATTTTTCTCTGTAATCCTGCCTTTCAAATAAATAAATCTTTAAAATAAAAAGAAAATGGTTATAATTACAAACTTAATGTTATTGTACTTATACATCATACACCAAAAAAAGGTGTTAACTGTGCAAGGTAAAAATTTCAAAAAAGCACAAGTCAAATGTATAACTGGGCTAATCTGCTAATTGTATTCTAATAAATACATGTAATTTGGGATCTGTTAATTCTGTTGCAATTTACATCTAGTTGGTCAGCCTTTACAACCAGCAAGTATTGAAATAGTAAGAAATTATGTATAAATCACAAGACAGATATCTTAAGAATTTTATGTTGAGTTATCTTTTGAGAGAGAAAGAGGGAGGGAGGGAGGAGAGTGAGAGAAAGAAGGGTTTGTAGGAACAAAATTTAGCAGCAGATGAAACTAAAGCAAAAATGATTATTCACATTTGGTTTGACAATCACAGTTGGTTCCTGGGTGAATTTCATTCTATTTTGCTTGACATCAAGATTTCGATGTACATGGCTCATTAGTGCTTGTAGGCACTTCTATAATGGCAAAAATTTATTACACTTTCAGGTGACAGAGGCTGTCCTTTGAAGAATTGCTTTCTGACCTCCTCCTCTTTCAACCCACAGCACCTGCCGAATGAAGTGGCCTGCTCTCTTTTTCTGTCCCCATTTAGACACTGGAAGTTTTTGTGTGCAGAAGGAGAGCAGGGCTGAAAAGCTTTGGCAGGAAGGTTTTTGCAGCAGGCTGCCTGTCGAACTGCATGGATCAACAGTTTCTCAATTAGAAGAAGATAGACGAGAAGATAAAGTATTCGGTGACTGCGAAGCTTCAAGCAGCAGCTGAGGAAGATTTTGAGAACATCTGGTCGGAATCTATTTCTTTTTAGGTAAGCATTCCTTTTTTACAACCAGCATACATAAAGCATGAAATTGGCTTACCCCACCTCCTCCTAACAAGAAAGAAGCTCGTTGGATTTATTACTCCTTTGATGCGAGTCTCGAGGGAGACTCGCATGGCATGTGGCATGCCCAGTGGAAGTCCTCCCCAGATCTTTTGGACTCCTCTCAGAGAGAACATTTGTCTGGTGTATCAAACTCATTTTTAAGAACCTATCTAAGATGACAGTTTAAAAAGATCATTCACAAATATGGATCCTATTCAGGATGTTTCCAGTTTTTGTGCCATAAAATTTATGCCTGAGAAGGGATGTTATTGACACAAAAATTCTCCTGCTCTAAATTTTTAAAAATTGATTATTTTGTATCTTGCTCATTCTTTTCTTTAGCTGATTTGAAAATTTCCTTCACTTTGTGTAATATTTGCAGAATTAATTGTTTTTGTCCATATCTGGCATCATCTGTGTGTTCATAGCATCGCAATGCCACCAAGCCACAAGATTCATGCTACTTCCCTGTTTTACACATGTAGCAAAACCAACCAACCAAACCAGGAATAATAAAATTGCATGCGTATACTGTGAAAGAGCAGATGAATTCAAATAAAGGTTCTGTAGTTCATGGCAAAATTTAAATGCTTACACTGGAAAAGCATATTTTATTTAGTGATGACTGCTTGCGTGGCATTATGTTCATATTATCACCCATATTAGAATAATTTGAAATCTACCTCACTTTATGAAATATACACTAGTCATAATTAGCCTGTCACATCCAAAGTGCTTTAAATGTTTATAGTAAAACGTACTTTCAAACTAATGTACATAAAAAGACATTTTTCTAACTGGTGGTTTTTAGTGCATTGATGCACTTCCCATGTAGCTAAACTGTTCTTTATTAAACAACCACACAATCAGACAATTCACATACATCCCTGTATTTTTCCATTATTCTTTAGCTCTTAAAATAGTTCTGAGTTTCAGCTGGGGCTCTTACATAAAATGTATCTTTATAATAAATATGGTCTATTGTTTATGGGAGACTTTCTGTAATATAAAAAAGGAAAATGCTTAGAAACTTTGTATATTCCCAGATGGAAAGACATTAGTGGAAGATACAGTCCTGAGAGCCAAGGAAACCTTGGCAAATCACAGGAAATTTCCAACAAAAATTTCATCTACACCAACATGTATAGGTGTACTGAACATTTTCATCAAAACAATAAAATCAAACTGTATCATAACAAGTTGGAGTGTTTAGATTTTATTCAATAAGATGCACTAGGATTTGAATCAAAGGAGAATTAGTCTTTTCAGCCAGCTATGGCTGTACTTATACCTAGAAGGGGAGAAAAACAGTCCCACCCCATGTCTCAGTGCCCTCAGTTCAGAAACTACCATGATTGTAAACTACCAGTTCCTTTTCCTCTTTTCCACCCCCACAGTGCCCTGCCTGCCTTTGGTCACTTCTCTGTTCATTAGCACCTCACTCAAAGAGCAGCAGAGAGGAAAAAGAAGAGGAGGTGAAATTAAGCAACCAACTTGTTAACAAAGGTGGCAAAGAGGTTTAGAAGTTAGAAGTGAGTTAAAATTAGATCCTAAAGTTATCAATGCCCTGTTCTTATCAGAACTAATTAAGAGTTAGCCAAGTGACAAAGGATCTCTAACCACTGTCACCAGCTCTACCGTCTGTCCTTGGAGAAGGCCTGGTTCATGTGTAATTGGCATTTAGAAAAGGATATCAGAATGAACAAAAGCGTTCAAATAATGATTTCCATCATGCAAATAGCTGTAAATTCTCTTTGTTAAAAGATGTTTGTCAAAAGATAAAGGTACCACCTGGTAATGTATTCATGATTTTTTTTCACTTTAAATTAAACTTCCATAAAAAGCAAAAGAAAAAAAAAGCCTGTATGTCCAACAGAAATAAACAGTGCAGAATAGCATGAAAGCCAAACTGAAAATCAAGAAAGGCGAAGTTGTAGAATGCTTAATTCAGGAGTGGTGTGCACGGTTCTATGTCATCTCCATTTATTGTTGTTGTTGTTATTTCTAGAAAAATCGGAAAAGTTTGCTCCCCAGTCTTTCCTGTCAATGTCCAATTGCTTCTAGTGACAGAAACAGCAGAAAGAACTGTTAGGGGGAACAAAGCCTTAGAGGACTGAAGCTCAGAGCCAGATGGCTAATTCAACTATGAAGAGCAAGAAGGAACCCCAAAGACTTTTTTGGGAAAGATCATTTTAGGGCTCCTAGGACTGAGGCAATCACATGGCACCGCTTTAAGTAATGAGCCCTTGAAGAGCCACTTTTGATAAGTTTAGGAATCCAAGTTGTCCCTCTGCAGAATGATTTATTTTCTGCAATGCTAACCTGCAGATTATGGCTTCGAGCCTGGGCTGTCCTTGTTGGAGGGCACGATGCATCATAGATTTTTATTTTCATGAAACGGGCTCCAGAGGTTTGTGGCCTTTCAGACAGCAGCTGGCGCCGAGCAGAGGCACAGCCTCGGGCCGGGGCTCCTGGCGACCGCGCCGCGCTTGGTTGTGCGTTCTGGGCAGCGCTGGCCAGCGCCACAGCCGGAGTTCCCGTTCCCGAGCGAGACGCTGGTCCCTTCTGGAAGGGCCACGGGGGGAGGGGAGGGCTCGCAACTGGCTGCGCCTCTGTATACTTAGGGGAAAAGGAGCTGCTGGCTTGAAGGAGAGGAGGGGGTAGGTTTGTGAAAGCGTTGGCTCCTCGCAGCAACTCTGGTGCCCACAGGGAGTGAGATGGTGGCCAACAAAAATGAAGGGAGATTATCCCATTTTGGGTAACGAGGATTTCGGGATGAGCCGGCGATGTGTCCTGCAACTGTCGATCTGGCAGGAGATTTGACTGAATCAGCTGCCGTTTGGTGCTCACTTCAAACACATCTCGCCCAGCCTGGTTCCGTGCGACTCCCCAGACCCAGGGTGGGGAGCGAGCGGAGCAAAGGAATCAAAAGTAAGGCTTCTTTGGTCTTTGCTGTGGCAGATGCGCAGCTGGCTGGGCTCTGAGCAGGTTGGTGAGGAGGGGGGTAAGCCAGAGCTGCTTCTCCCCGTTGGCGGGGTTTGGGGTGTGAGTGGGGAGGATGGGAGAAGTGGGGAGGATGGGGGTGGGGAGGAAGGGGTGGGGAGCAGACTTGGGCGGAGTAGTGAGCGAAGCCCCCTGTTTTGCGTGCCAGCCGCCTCCCCAGCGCCGGCGCCCGCGTGGGGAGGAGGGGGCGAGGCGGGCGCGGAGGGTGGGGGGACTCCCAGCAGCGCGTCGAGCTCGTGGTGGCTGCGGGGCTGTCTCTTTAAGCGCTCCGGAGGGGCCGGGGCGGGAGGGCGGAGAGCGCGTTTCCATGGCACCGGGGCTGCGGGGGCTGCGGGGCCGCCCGGCCGAATAGATCGCTGGGCTCCGGGCGCTCCCAGCGGAGCCAGTCCGCGCAGCTCGCCGGCCGCCGCGCTTCGGGCGCTCGTGCGGCCGCTCCTTCCGCACTTCCAGTAGCTCGTGGCGCCCGCGGTGCGGCCGCGCTGCTGCCGCGCCCTCCTCAGCGAGACACACCTCGCCGGCCCCGCGAGCCCCGCGCACCAACTTCTGCCCCGCGAGCCCAACTTCTGCGTGCCGGGGTCGGACTTGCGGATCCCCAGCGGCGCGCAGTCGGGACGGCAGCGGGAGCGGGCGGCCTAGGCAAGATGACTTTGCGCCTGTGGCTCTGGTGCTTCTGCGCTTGGGTGGCCGCCGGCTGGCCGCCGGGAAGCAGCCTTCAGCTCCGCCCGGGCATGTAAGTGGCGCCCGCGTACCCCGGAACGCGTGCCCAGGGCGGGCGCCCCGCTCCGACCCGCCGCCAAGACCGCGGCCGGAACCGTCCCCTCTGGGCAGGGGTGGAGGGATGAGACCGGGCGCGCGTTGCGCCTGGCCCTGAGGGAGCGCGGCGCGAACGCGGTCACCTGCGCGTCCTCGGGGAGCGCCAGCCCAGAGCCGACTCGGTGGCCGGGGCCCTGTGCCTTCCACCTGATACTTTTATGGCGACGGGCAGGTTCTTCCCCCAAGTTTGAGTGTGTGTGTTGCGCGCGCGCGCGTGATGGGTGTGTGTGTGTGTGTATGTGTGTGTGAGAGAGAGAGAGAGAGAGAGAGAGAGAGAGAATTTTCTGCTTAAAAGAGTCATCGACAGTGACAAGTGCCACTTTCTGAAAGGGTTTGCATGCAATCCTGTCGAACACAAGAGTTTCTTCAGTTTTTTCTTTTGAAGACGCAGGGGAGGAGTGGATAATTCCACAGGTTTGGTGAGAGATGCCAAGCGAGGCGCGCTGAAGGGTTAGGGCAAGGACCCGAAGGCGCCCTCTGAGGATGGGGCGCAGGCTCCTCTCCAGGTTAGGGATGGCCGTAGCTAGGCGACCTTCTATCTCGGTCACCGTGTCAAGCGCAGCCAGGTGCTCTTGGCGAGTCTTTACAAACTGCTCCGTCTCCGCGACTGGCTGCCGAAGTTTTCAGCGAATTCTGTAGCATCAGCGGGATTGTCATCGAAGCGCCTCCGAGAAGCCTTATCCAATTCTGCTTCTCGCTTCTGTTCTTGAGCGGTTATGAATAGACACCAGTCTTTTGAACGTCTGAACATTTTTTTTGCTACTTTGCTACTTCTTTGCTTCATCTTCGCTTTTCTGAAATGTGAATATTTTATAGTGGAAAAATGGCTTAGATAAGTACACAAAGCCATCTAAATCTCTCCTGAGCTTTACTTTTTCTTGTAAGAAAAATACTATTTTTGGGTTCGCCGTACATTTCTATATTTCATCCCTCTCATGTGAGATTCAGTTTACCGCCTGGTTACTGCAAATGCCACTAACTGTAGATCTTGAGGCATGGTCAGGGTGTTGGTGGCAATAAAGAAATTTTTTTTTTGCCTGCATGATTTTTAAACATTTGGCAGAAATGCAAGGAGTTTCTGGGCATGTGATTTCTCTTGAATTGATGTGTCTTGTTTATTTGCAAGAGATTGAATTAGGCTTTAACTCCCCAATTTTTCTCAGAAACGTCTCACTTTAGCCTGTGCATGCATAAGCCTTTACTTCTTAGAATTGCTTTTTTAGCAAGCTTGCCCAGTAGCCACACTCTTACCTTTACAAGTGCTCTTATTAAAGTGGATCTGAGATTGCCCTCTTAGGTAGCCACAGAATCAGCCATGCACACTGAGACTGTATAATCCCTTTGAGGAGGCACTAAGAAATACCAGAGATACACCACTTTTTACATTAATCAACAATTTTACCTCATGTTTCAATATTGACTCTTATTGAAAAGGCTTTAGGGATGACATTGCATTTTTTTCTTTTTTCCGGGAGGCTGCTACTGCAGCTCATTTATTTATCAGGTGAGATGAGACTAGATATTAAAAAAATATACATTCTTGGGTGTTTAATAGAGGTGTTTTCTCCTGGGAGTAATTGAGATCACTCTGATAACTGCTAGTACTTCCTAGAATCTGGATGGGAAAAATTCAGTCTAATTTGTGTTTAGTATTCGCATTAATGATGGTATCTTCAGCAGGAACACTCTTGGGGTTTAGAGCTAGATTTCTGCAGGTGCCTTTGCAGTTGTTAGAGTGGAATGCAACGATGGACACCACTTGGCTTCCACAACCTGTCCACTTATTAAAGAGAATTCTGAGATTTTTATTGACCTCTGAAGTCCATTATCAGTGAGAACAGGCTTCTAATGAGGTGAAGACCACTAATGAGAATGCCTCCTCTTACTGACTGGCACTTATAGGTCATTAACACAGATAAGAGTTTTATGGAGCTGATTTTGTACCTGAGTAGATTTTGGAGTTGGGGTGACAACTCAAAGTAGGAAATGATTGTTCAGCTACCTGCTGGTCACCCTAAATTTAATACACTGCATTTATGGTGTATTCCTAGAAGATAAGCTCATTTTCAAAGGAAGTTTTATTAAGGAAGCAAAAGATGTGTGGCTTATGGATATTCCAATGCTAATTACAGTTGATCTGCCTGATGGCCTTGTCTTATCACATTTAGGAAATTTCAGTTACCTAGAGTTAGGCAGATAAATAAAATCAGTACTTCATAAAGAATATCTAAGTACTAACCACATAGACAGCATTAGAAATCATAGATAATAATTAATGCGTTCAAATTCTTACTTGGATGCTAGGCAAATTTCTAGCTAAATTACATGTATTATTTCATTTAATCCTGGAAATAGCTCTCTTTGAGGTAGGCATTGTTATTCATTTTCTGATGAAGAAAGTGACATGTGTAAGGTTAAATTCAAACTTCAAGAATTCAGAAGATTGAATCCTGGAAGTTTGATTTGAAAGCTGGAGTTCTTAACATATATGGTCCATTAAAGAACACCCAGACGTAGCCTCTTATTCTAAATTCTTTTAATCACTTCCATCTGTTCTCAGTTGGAATAAGACTGGAAGCTAGTGGATTTTGAGAAATCTCTGTGGCCATTTTTGATGGTTGCAGTAACTATAGGTTTCCATTGACATTCGGTGGTTTTGTGGCAGAAAGTTGGGATGCTAATTGTCTTGGCAATGGGTAGGACAATTAGCATACAAGGAAGATTTGATTTCTCCCCTCTTTACAGAGCCTCTTCATAAGAAATTCCTTAGCTTTCTCATGGCTGCAGGTACTTAATTAACAAAATGATGGGCTAGGCTTAAGTGGGAACTGTGTGGCGAAAGGTAGCTTCTGCAAGTGCATTATGAATTGGACAGTTGTAACTGGTGATGGCATTTTGATAAAGGGATATTGAAGAGTTTACTTATGTTAATGGTACTCTGGAAAGGTTTTCTAAAGGATTAAATGGGAGGAAGTAAACTCTCCTCTAGATCTTTCAGACATCAAAGGAAAATGACAGGCTGTAATGCATTCTATTAAAATTTATCCTTTGTGGTACACCTTTGTAAACACTTGCATAATAGTTTTAAGCAACATGATGAAAACTAGTAAACAGAGAAATGTTGTAGATATCATGTGAGGCAGAAGTGAATAAAGGCAAATCCAGGAAGCTCTGAAGATTTCTCTGACACCTGGGGGAATTTTAAGGAGATGTGGTTACTTTATGCCTCTGCAGCCTCCTGAACCCTGGAGGATATTTCAGAACCCATCCCATAAAGCTGATGTCTGATATAGGTAGTTTTGACTTAGAAATCCAAAACATGCCTTGCGTGATGTTGTTCATCCATTAAACATAAAGAACTTGGTTTCACCTCTTCCTCCATAGCTGATATGGACAGTTGAGTCAGAGTGGGAGCGATAGAGGTTTAGATTTTTTATGAAGAATCATTGGATTTAGAAACAGCAAGACAAAAACTCTGTAAGTAATCTGGAATACTGAAGGGGAGCTCTGAATAGTTGTGTACATAGTGACGAAGTGGTCTCTTGTCTCACATAACCATGCCAGGATTTGTGTATGTACTTATTGTTACTTTTAAAATTTTGTTTATTGATTTTTTTTCTTGTGATCAAGCCTAAAATTGAAGTGTCTTAGTCTGTTTGGGGTACCAGAACAAAATACTTTGAGTGGTTTATCAACAGCAAATCTTTACAGCAAACCTTTAGTTCTGGAGGCTGGGTAGGCCAGTCCGGTAGGGTCCATGTCTGTCCTGGTTCACGGTTAACTGTGTCCTCACTTGTTGGAAGGGAAAAATGAACTCCCTTAGGCCTATTTTATAAGGGCATTAGTCCTGTTATTGAGGGCATCACCCTCATGACTTAATCGCCTCCCAAATGTCCCATCTCCTAACACTACTCCGTGGGGGTTAGGCTGCAACTCCTGAATTTTTTTGGGAAACATCCAGCCATTGCATAAGTGAACTAGAAACATCCAGGGCTAATAACAATCCACTTTAAAACTTTATTTTTATATGAGAAAGAGAATTTCCATCTACTAGTTCACTCCCTTTACTCCCCAAATGGCCACAATTGGTGCTGGGCCAGGTTGAAGTCAGGAGCCCAAAACTCAATCCTGGTTTCTCACATGGGTGGCATGGACCCAACTATGTGAACCAGGGTGAACATTGTCAGGAAGCTGGAATCAGGATTGGAGCTGGGAGTCAAACCCAGGCCCTCCAAAATGTGATGCCGTATCCCGAGCGGTGTGTTAATTGCTATGGCAAGTGCCTACCCCAACATTCCACATTTAAGCATGATCAGGGGTATGTCATTTATTTATTAGTGTTTATTAGATCAAGAGAATGTTCTTGCTTCTGAAATCTACCATTTTAAATGAGTGTAACATGCAATGAGGAGGTTGTACATACTCTCTATGGATGAAATGCTGCTTTATGCCATTGGTAATTATTCAAGACTTTAATTCTAACAACAACTGTATGAAGTTAATAACCCTACTGTCTCCTTTTTCCAGGTGCATATTCTGAGGCACAGAGAGGTTACATAACTTGCCTACAGTTTCAGAACTGAGAAATTTGAGAGCCCTGTTCAAAATCACCTTAGTCTGTGGTCTGCCCTGGATGTCTTCTTCCGCCACTCTCAGACTATATGCCCCTCTGATTTTTGTACTTAGTCTGGATCCATTTCCTTATATTTGGTGATAGCTGCTCTTTCTCCTGCTTCACCAAATAGATCCAATCCACTGCTCTGTTGGTTTCAGCTGTCAACTCAAATCTCTATTTTGTTAATGGAATTGAAATTATATTATATGAATTTTCCCAGTGTCTCAATCCCGTGCTTTATCATTTTTTCCATGTCTTTAATTCTCTTCGAGCTTCTGTGTCTCATGGAAATATCTTTCTCA